GCCCATTGTCTTCTGTGATATGACTGTCCGATTGCAGAGTTTCTCCTGTGATGTGTGTGTATTCATATATTATTTAATTGCCGCAGTCTTCCCAGCCGTTCATATGCGCGGTCCGTTAGAGTCTGCTGATATGCAGTCCAGATCAGCACCAACATGTATCATCCTCGCTTTGGTTCGTATCAGAAAATTGACCTTTTGAACATGACCTGAGTTTGTGAAAGGAGTAAATGAGTCTTAAAAGCAAATACAAAAAAAAAAAAGTATTTTAGTTCATTTTTAAAAAACCCACATGGAAATTTTTAAGCCAAACTTGATGTTTTTAGAGTTGAATTCAACGTCTACCATCAAGTTTTAGACCCCTAAACACAATCCTTTAACTTGTTCTAGGCGCAGTGTATCTTCCAATACGTGGACAACACAGCTCATGTCCATCCATAACACAAGATTACCTCCAACTGCGGGTCACATGACACTTAAATGCATGAAAAATGATGTAATCAACAAACCTAATTATCTAAAGTGGTGGTCATTTACTTCATTAACCAGTAAGCTACTCAAGTGCCTTTAGAAGTACTTCAGAGCCCATACGGTATATTAAACTCTAGATGCTAGCCTCGCAAAGTCAGTCTTATCTTCAGTATTCATTTCACATATTTTGTGGCACATCTGAGAAAGAACAGGTGTCTTTCATGTCATAATACTAAAAGAGGGGGAGAGCTTTTGTTGGTATTTTTTTGTCAGCTGGCTTTCAGCGTTATCATGTTTCCCTTTGAAAATCAGTCAAAAGAGAGACTGAATAGGAAAGCGGCATGTTATTTAAGTCAAGATAATATGGCAACACCTATCCAACTCCTTTTGTAGATACATCTGCAAATAAAAATTCATATTTGATTAGTGCTAAACTGTCAGTCTGATATATAATGCGTACAAAAGTTCTTCTATTTTGGTGACTGAATGTGTTCAAGGCTTTTTCAGGATACAGGAAACGAAAACAGGAACTTCAGCTGCATTAACTTCAACTCTGACTGAATTCTTGTGTTCATGTCAGAGTAAAACAATACACCATACTGTATGCTTGTGTAATTCCATACTTAGGGTTGGACACAAGAATAAAGCCAGTACAAAGCATATTGTACAACAGTATGTGTTTCACTTATCTGACTGGTTAAAATAAAAGCTCAGCAGATGGTCTGATCAAACCTACGGGAGCCCCCGTGTGGGGGCGAGGCGCTGACCAATGCTCCCCTTGGAGCAGAAACCTGGCTGCATAGAAACGGGATCCTCTCCAGAAATAAAAGGCTGAAGTTAAGTGATTCATCCTTCAAGTAGAGCTGAACAGGCCTGAAAGCAGCATTCAGGAGCCACTGAGTCACACTGTGGAGGGGTGACCTTAGATCAGATGACGGGGGCTGGAATCGTCGCGCACTCTCACTCTGCACCGAGGTGACACAGAACAAGAGCTCTCAAGGCCTCCTTGTCTGACTGATGATCCACAACCCCCCTCGGTCGCTTCCTCCCACACACATCCATCCCTTTCACTGTCTGTCTTTCTGTGTCTTCAGTATTTTGTCTGTTTTTGACCCTCTTTGCTGAACAGTTTTATAGACTGTACTTCGCCTACATTATTCTATCCGCGTACAGTAAATGCTTGTCATAGTGTTTAGTGTCTCTTAGGGTGCCAAACGCCTAATTTATTATTATTATTATCAATCCCATTCCAAAAAAGTTGGATTATTGATTAAGATGTTCAAAAGGTTGCAAAAGCAACAGGTAACACTTTACAATAATCATAATATAAAACAGCATATGGACCAATTATAAATGGCAAATAGATACTTCATTAATGTAAGTTAGTAGTTACTTTATCATTAAGAAGCAATGAAATTATGATTTATAATTTTCATTAATTATTATTGGACTATTTATTAAAGGTTTATAAAGGGTTTAAATATTGGTTGTAAAACATCTAGATTAAACAGTGTGTCAGCAGCACTTTGTAAATGGTTAATAATTGTTTTTTAAACCATCTATAAACATTATTTAGATGGATATTGTAAAGTGAGGGTTAGGTTTTTAAAATTGTAAAATTTGCAATTTATTAATGGTCTATATGCTTTTTATAAATGATGATTAAACATTAATAAACTATCTGCTAACCATTTATAAATGGTCTATTTACCATTTATAAGTTAAGGTTATTGTAAAGTGTTACCAAGCAACATAAAGGCTGAAACTAAATCAAACTTTCTCCTTAAATACATGCTTATAACATGCAACAGTCATCATTTAGTTTAACAATATCATAAACAAAATAATATAATATATATATACACACACACACACACACACATATATATATATATTAATTTATTAATATATTTTGGGATTAAAATAGAGATAAAATGTGATATTTGTTTTTCGCTAGAATTTTGATTTGATTATAATAACCTGTCACTACTTCATTGATGCAGCCTCTTTTACTCAAAGAAAACCAGTGCTCAGGTAGACTTAAAGCAATTTTCATTTTCATTTTTTCATTTATTAACTTTTTTGAACATGTGCATACAACACCAAAAATAAACTGACAAAACAAAACAAAAAAACACAAACATAACTAGTGAGAATATTCAAAACAACATTACAATAATCAAAGCAAAAAAGTAAAAATTAAAATTAATTTAAATTAAATAAAAAAACTAATAATAATAATGATGCGAACTCAACATGTCGACAAAGGAGTAGATAGAAGCATTTTCCTTTATTTTAAACCTATCTGATCTCCTTTACTCAATTATATCAGTCAGTTTCCAACAAAATTAAATCATATTAACAAAAAATACAACAGAAATAGAATAAATAAGAAAAATAAAGTCAATAAAAAACTTCATTTAATCTGCCCCCAGTGGTAAAGTGGGAAACTGCAATGCTATGCTAACTCTTTATACAGCGAACATCCTGCAATATTTATAAAGTAATCAGTTTTTCTTTGTGTACCAATGATCCTCCCGCTGGCCTGGTGGACCGACAGCTGTGTGGTTCATAGCAGGAAGTAGTCTGTGGATGTGCAGGTGCTTTGTTTACATACACAGCATTAACCCTGTCTGGGCTAAAGCCGGGTAAACTTGGCTATTCTCTGAGCCTTCTTGCTATCTCCGCCGCTCACTGCTCCCCCCTTCTGAACCTTCTATCTCTACCTGTGTCCTCCTCCTCCCGAGCTTCTGTAGTCGTGAAGGGGGGCCTTCTCGATTTCCCTCCTGCCCAGAAAAATCAATATTGGGAGGCGGCCTGACAGACCTTTCACAGGAGTATTACAGCTCAGCCCGGCGCTCCGATAAGCCTCCTGTTACGTCCTCTCGGGACGGGGCTGGCCGAGCCTGCGCTCCCCACCTGGGGGGGAAAGCATTCTCCTCTGGCCGCAGGGAAGAGCGCCATAAAGGGCAAGACGTGGATCACAAGTCTATTGGTGTAGGCTATTAGTAACCTTATAGCCCCTGACCTGTGACTAGGGTCCTGTGCTGATTCCCACACACACACTCACAGACAGAGTGGGAGGTGACACACAAAAAGAGTTTATAATGATACAGAGCTTTGTCACCTACACAAGAGCATGCATAATGCAGTTTTTTTCCTCTCTCTTCGGTGCGTTGCTGTTAATGTATTGCTTACACCAAACTGTGAGCTGCACATTCATGCTGCTCTGTCACTGCCTTTGTCTGTAATGACTCTGTTGTTGCCCGCCCTCCTACGCACTTGCCCACATTGAATTGTGCATCTACAATACACACTTGGATGCACCTGAAAAGACTCACGCCCACATACCAATCTCACTTAGAGTGATTCATAAGGACACACAATTGTGAGAAAAAAAAAAAACTGCACAAACTGAGCTGCCCAATATTTAGATAAGTAGGATACATGCCGACACACGTTGATGCATGGCTGACGAGATCGAGGACTTGCAGAGTTAAATGTGCATGACAGAAAATGCACACAGTTGACCGTCTGATTATCTAGAAACCGTTGACACCCAAAAGATCGAAATGACCTCATTTTGATCAAAGATGTTGTGTAATTTAAGTTCAAGTGGATCTTCAGCAAGGCATGTTAAATGTCATGGCCAAGTTTACTCACCTGCATTATGACTCAGATGTCCTCACGCAGGTAAGAGACTGGCATTCTTTGGAAAAACACTTGGTTCATATCCAAGCTTGATGTTACTGGTGACAAACTGTTACACAAAACTGCTTTTCTGGAAGTTGGTAAAGCTCAGAAACTAGGACAAGAAGGTTATTTTAATAACTCGACCTGCCAGGCTGGTGCAAAATTTTAGAAGGTTGATTCTTGGTGCAGGTCGTTGGTAACGTTTCAGCTGTTGGGTGGATTGGTAAACGCTTCAGTAAACTTTTAAGATTTCTCCAGCATGAGCTACTTTTTGATTCAAACTAATCGACAAAGTGTGGAGAGGTGAGTTTTTAGCTTCTTGGTGAAGGTGTCTTTGACAAAGTTGCCTGGTGGTCTCATGCTGCAGCACTGTCCTTAACCCCAACGACCGGCAGCGAAAAGGCCATCCCCGCCGATCACCGCTGATCGTTTCCATTCAAGTTAACGTGTCAAATTCCACCGGCGTCTTTCCGTTCCGCTGCAGCGTAGAAAACATGCCGTAGAAATTCAGCACAGATTAACCCATGCTGGAAAGGAAGTTGGGCACAGACACAAAATAAAACATCTGACTTCTTTTCAAAATAAAACACTACGGGTTTCAGAGGGATCATGTTTTCCAACAGTGGTCCCCAACCTTTTTTGTACCAGGGACCAGTTTCATGCAGGAAACTTTTTCCAAGGACCGGGTAGGGGCGTGGAGGTTTCAATAACAAAAACCTTAATCAGTACATAGTATGTAATCTGGATACAACAATTACATTTTATATTAGGCACTTTTCATTACACTTTAACATCTACTCACCATAATGCAGAATCAAGCCTTTCTCTCTCCAGTGAACTCTGTTTCTGGCATTTTTGGAAGAGCTAGCTTGTGTTGCTGATGCAGGAAAACGACGTGCCGAAGAGTCAAGCGCAGAAGTGAGTCGATGGCGGAAGTGGTGGTCTTTTAAAATAAGGTACTGGGAGAACGGATGAAAAGAAAAAAAATCATTTAATCATCGTAATTTTTTTTTGCGGCCCAGTACTAATTAATCTACGGACCTGTACCTGTCCGGGGCCCGGTGGTTGGGGACCTCTGCTTTACAACATGCAAAGGTGGTTTGTTTTGTAGATAAAGATGAATATTGCACTTACCCATGGTTAATTCTCTGGAAGGACACAATCTACTGCTTATATGGTTATGTGGATGTCTTTATAGAGACAACTCGTTATTGTGTGATTGCATGTGAATTTACCGGTTCTTGTGAGCTTTCGGGATTCCCGCTGTCGCCTCACAAACGCATGCGGTAGGAACTGGCGGACAATGAAAATCGTGCTGTTCCAAATGCGGTGGAAATTTGGGGTAAGAAAGTTCAACTTCGTCAGGTTTTGGCTGTATTGAAACGAGGAAGACATGTCGGAGGATGTAGAACGTTATTTTACAGGTAAAACGTTCTCATTTAGAGAAGATGATGACTGAGGGACTTTGGGAAACACAGAGCACAGGGCATAAGAGTTCAAATGAAGGCACAGACTCTGTTAGTAGCACAAGAGCTAATCCTCTTTGTTGCACAGTATCTTGATATACTGTTGAGTGAACTAGAACAACACTGATGAGCTGCTTGTCACTCCTGCAGAAGTTTTTTTTTTCCTTATGGGCTTGATTATTTCTTTGTGAGGGCTTTTGAGCTGCAGCTAACACTCCACAGATACACTTTATGCTATTTATGGACCCACAGTTAAATCTCTTTCCAACATGACCCTGCTCAACCCACATTTTGTCAGATATATGCTGTTTGCAGAACTGTAAGCTGAACCCAGACTGGTTGGAGAAACACTTTGATATTCATCTGCGCCAGAGATAAAGCGCAACTGAAAACACATTTGTCAAAATTAAAAAACAACCCCCTTCTTAATACACATATCTTTATTGCATTCATGGGTACATTAGGGACTGATCAATCAACAGTACTCTCACACTGAGCCAGCACATTGTGACCCAAGTTCAGCTGGCTTACATTCACAAACAACACAACAACAACAACACACAGTTCTGGTTGCTAAATGTGCGTCCTCTATCAGTTTGTGCAGCTGAGGGTTGTCTGAGGGTAAGACTGGAAAAGCTGAAGCTCCTTACTGGAGGTAGAAATCAGTGAGGATTTGAAAGTTGGTGTCAGCAGAGTCCTCAAGGCCACGCTTATGAAAAAGAAGGGAGTACTATCACTGAGGCTGTCTGGGGACGCAGGGCATTTCCTGTTAGCATTCGTTATTCATATGAAATGTCATTTTGCATTTAAATTGTGACTTTTTGAAACATGTTTTCTATTTAGGCAATTGCTCTGACGAATCTGTGATCATAAGCACCGTCACAAGTTCAGACCTGTCCTGAGCTTATTCTCGTGGCACAGGGGGAAAAAACCTGTGGTCAACATGAAACACAAATTGATAGCGGCACAAATACCAATCGAATAAAACATCCAAATCAAAGGAGCGCACGTTGAGCTGGTCGTTTGTTCCGGGGGATTTACCCAAACAAGCCTGAAATGATCAAAAAACACAGTCTGCTCCTGGGAACACGTCTAGCCTCAGATGTTCATTTTCATGTCACTGGCTGAGGTCAGTTGACTTGCTTATCTTAAGTGTCTGGCAGCAAATGTAGTCATGCTTCAGTATGCTTATTCACATTCCCACAATTGCACATTCATTGTAACATGTCTATGAACAATAGTCATTTCACCGCCTTCCTGTTGTTCTCTGATAGCAGAGATGAAATCACTACATTAGTCAGTGTGATGTATATCCTTGGTAAACACAAAACAGTTGATAACATACTTTATGGAAGTTCCTGGTCAAAGGCTGAGCAACATAATCGTGTGAATGAACTGAGCTGATGCTGATAGTGACGGACTAATGTGAAGTATCAGTATCTAATCATATCAAAGCTTCTCAAGTAGCACAATTAAATTGTACAAGGAGACCATGACAGGCATATAATGAACATCCATATAGTTTTAAAATGATAATAAAATGGGAAACCAAAGGAGACGGCAACACTTTTGATTAGGGATGTAACGGTATTGTAAATAACGCGGTATTTTGGTTTCAAATCTCACGACAATAACGTGGCATGCAACAAGAACTTTGAGTGCTCCCGCCACAAGGAGAAAAGATGAAGGACATGCAAAAAACTGGACTGCGATTGTCTGTAAGTCTAAACGCAAATAATATGAGAAGCCAAAGATTCCTGACGCCAAACCACGAAGCAAGCAAGGCATTTTATAGTAACTACGAGAAGAATAAATACTGCAATAATACCTTAATACAGTGACAATATTGTACTGTGAGGTTTTGAAATATTGACATATTTCGCATGATTTATGTCTGTATTAAGTTAGCATTTGAATAAATTTTTAGCTAAATGTATAATGATTTCATCTCATATTTACAAAAGAGGATTAGGGCCACATGAGAAAAAAAAATATTATAGGAAGGAGATTTAAATTAAAATTTCGCAATTAAAAAATTTTTAAATTATGTCAATAACATCGAAATTTGGAGGCTACAAAATGTTGAAATGTTGTAAATAATGTTGTAATTTCAAGATTTAAAAAATTAAAATTTTGAGATTAAAGTTGACTTGAATTAAATTGAAATTCCAACTCTTTAAAATTTTCACTTTAATCTCTAAACTTCGACTTTAATCTTGAAATGGAAATTAAAAAAAATCTCCCTCCTGTAATTATTTGTTTTTTTCTTCTCGTGGCCCTGATCCTCGTTCGTACATATTTGTTTCAACTGATCAACAAAATTTTAATTTCTATCTTTTTAAATCAGTGAGAGTTACCATCTTTGCCTTTCAGTGCACCGAGTACATGTAATCTGACACAGAATCACAGTTTGAGTGAGTTTACCCTGGATAAAAGTAATGCTGTGTAAAAGCAGTAATTTACTCGTGGTTATGCTTGACTGTATAAGTGGTTCAAGAAAGCTCAGATCTGAACACTTCCTGTGGTGTTGTTGTTTGATCAAAACAGGGTCTTAATGGAGCTAACAGGGTGACTGTTTTATGGACATATAGTAAAACTCCTTCTTACACTTGGAGCTAAAAGTGTGAAATTTAGTTGACAAAACTAGATAAGGTAAATCATCTTATTCCATTGTAGCAGTGTTTTCAAAATGAGACTAAAGGTGCTAAATTCACAAGACAAAAAGTTCAAAAGTATTGACGCTTTTAAAAAATGTAGTTCTAAAAAGCCAGAAACTCAAAAATGCTTCAGGCCACTACTGGTTAAACTGGTTTTGTCTTCAAATTGCTACAAACAGTTTGAAACTTGTAGATAACTTTCCTGGGGCATGTGGGTAATTACAGTCATCCCCACATGTCTGCAGTTAAACTATTTTGCCCAAAGCAAATGTTTGTAAAGTGAATGTGCTGTGACTGTGATTGCCTGCTGATAGCCTCGGTGTGGCCAAAGACGCACGGAAGCCGAACAACAAAGACAGCGGCGAATAACGGTTGGATACGTGGATACTTTATTCATATCTCATATATGTTTCTTTACATTTATACAAAAATACAGAATACAGTAGAGTTTTCACCCAGAATATCAACTGGGCAACAATTAAATTTGCTTTTGGCACCCAGACTTCTTTCCTGCCCAGAGCCATTGGATTCACCCACAAAGTGTGATGCATTTGATCACAAGTCCCTAAAGCACTATTCAGGATGCAGCTCTGCTTCGTCTCAGACCACACAACAACCCACATAATAATAGTATTTAAGGGTGGTCACTCTCTCAACTAATGCATGAAATAAGTCTGTCTCTGGCATCCATGCATTAGACGTTTCGACAGTTAGAGGCTCTCGTATCGACAGGAAAATGGGAGACCATGTTTCTTTTTTTCACAGCTTAGACCTGTTGCAGCTCATGATATCCATAGACTATGTATAAAAAAAACAACAACTTTGAACATAGTTTAATCTTTGTTGGTAATTTCTTATTTATGTTTTTTTTTATAACTTTTTTTTTTATTTTGCTTTTTTGTGGCTAGACTATCCTTCGTCCCTGTCAGAATACTGGACTTTGAATGTTTTGTCTTAATGTAGAGAAGCGAAATCTAAAGTAGGACTGGGCGATTATATGATCGTGATAAATATCAGTTTGATCACGGTGATCAGCTGTGAGCATATTTACTCGATCAAACATAGCGGAAATGTTGGTGACAACAGCCAATCAGAGTCAAGCTCTTCCTGCTCATTTCTGTAAGTAAACAGACTGACCGAACGTGGAGCTAAACGCGGAGCTGAGGGCAGCAAAATAGATGACTTTGAGAAGTTATTCAATGTCGGTTGTGTGGCGGTGGTTCGGGTATTTGGTATCTCCAAAGTGATGTCAAGCAGTTAAGCCGACAAGGTAAGATCTACCTTATATTGAATTGGCAAGGTATGTCTGCGATCGGTTCCCCCTCAAAAACCGGCAACACAACAGATCAGTTTAATAGCATTAGCATCTGTTTTTAGCCACAACTAGCGGTGCAGCCACCAGACTAAAGCAGCGACCAATCGAATTGTCTACGTCAACATCGTCTAATGTTTACATTTTAGGACGTCTTCATTATCCATGAAGGGGCCATGTGTTTATTTTGGGTCTTGCATACCAAAAACACTCTAACCACTGTAAACTAGTTCACTGTATTATTTAGTCTTTATCCACATTTGTTGTACTGTTGAGTTAAATGGTTTTTGTATTTTCTTATGTTCATCTTATTTAATTTGCTTTGTATAGTAATAAAAAATTTTCTTTAAAAGTGGCAGATTGAATTTTCTTTTTTGATCCAGATCAGAAATTATGACAAAAAACAAAATCGTGATCTTATCGCCCAGTCCTAATCTAAAGATGAAGAAAACGTCTCAGGTCTAAACTGCTATAAATTATTCAAAATTGCATTTTTGAACCAAGGCAATCAGCTAAAAGCTCTCAAACATAGTACTTAACCACACTTGTAGTATTAGATATTCCAGCTAAGTACATGAACACCAATGTGGTATATTTCATCTAACAAAGAGTCAGCTCTAAACTGCGTTTGTAGCACAGGGAACAAGTAGCCATAAACAGAGCGTTTTTCAAAAATGCAGTTTCGAATGATGATATTGTCTCGTAGTTCACGCAACAAACAATACTTAACCACACCAAAGAATTCCAGCCATTGATGCTGAAAAGTACGGTTGCTCCTAACTATATGAACACCAATGTGGTATACTTTTTTTTTTTTCCTTTAACACATATTCAGTAAAGCACAATTTACTCTTGTCTCCTATAAGAAAAATTCCCAACACATAGTCCAAAATACACATGAAACAAGCAGAGTTAGTGTTTTCCTAGAGGTCACAAAGGCTAACGTGATAAGTGGATAGAAATGTCACAACCACTGCAGTTTATTTTTCCTCCTATAGGGTTGAAGTACTGCTGTCTCAAAAACTGACTTAGGAGTATAATCGGGCACAGGTCGAGCCAAGTAAACTGTCAAGGTTTCGAGTTCCTTCAAAAAGGACAGAGAGAAGTGGGTTTTTTTATCCGTTAGGTCTTTGTGGTGAGATAGTTTTAATCTGCAGGCTTACAACATTTATACACAGTCAAACGCACTAATCAAACAAGGCACAAAAACCAAGCATGGACATGGTACAATGTAAGACCACAGACATGATAGAAATACTTAAACTACATACAGAAACAGGTGTTATGTTCTGCCACTTTGTCATCGTCAGCTATTCGCAGCATGGCAGCTCGATGGGAAAGGTCACAACCAGCGTGCCCTGTTCACATTCCGACATCTTAACAGATTGTCACGTAATCTCCATTGTTATCATAAAACCTAATATCCATTATTGATCTACCTTATATTGAATTGGCAAGGCTTTAAAGGAGTTTCAAATCCTAAAATGTTTCCCTCACAGCTCGGTGGTTTTCAGATCAGAGTGGTTTAGTGAGGAGTTGGTGTAAGGGCATCTGCGTTTGTTATTTATATATATTTTTATTTCTTTTTTTTCTTTTAGTTTTTTTCAAATAAAGGCTTGAATCTAACACTTAAAAAATTAGACTCACCACAAAGCTTTGTGACTAACTCTTTCGAAGCCACACCATTTCACGACAGCTGATTTAGGGAACATGACATCGCACTTCCATTGACACTGTGTTATGGCGCAACTGTAAGGCAAAACTGATGTTAAGAGTGGCGTTTCTATGTGGTGAGCTTCGCAGACAGATTGTACGGATGTTTTTGAATTGATAAAAGCCTTCAGTATTTCAATTAGGAATGGGCATTTTAAGAAAGTCCCTCAATCGATCAATCATTGTTTTAATCGAAAATACGCACAAATAAAACAGTGTTTTTCCTCATTAAAATACCACCTCCCCTCAAACTGTTGTTAAACACTGCTCGCTACCATCTCCCTCGCGCTTCCTACCTGCCCGGCTACCATAATAATCGTTGTTTTTTTTTGTTAATTAAAACGCTAAAATCTGGGACATTTCCGGGGACAACTTTAGCCAAAGACAGGTCATCCAAAATGGGGACTGTCCTCCTTGCTAGCACTCCGAGAAATCATTAACCTCAGTCTGATGTATGTGGTTCAAGTGGTACATCATAAGGGTTTTTGTCGTCTTGTATTTGTACACGACATCGCAGTGTTTGCAGCGAACCTCATCATTTTTCCACTTCGTCTTGCTTTCTTCATGTTTGTTTTTCGATTTCTACGAAAGCCCGATAATGCTGCATCTCTCCTTCCGATCAGCAGAGGTTTATCCTTGCTGGAAAGCAGCTGGAGGATGGGCGTTTGCTGTCAGCCCTTTTTTAAATAACATTAGATCGATCGAAATCAAGTAATCCATCATCGATTAATCGTGCCCATTCCTAATTTCAATAGCATTTACGGTTCGATAAACAGCGAAGTTGCTTTTTCCGACTGTGTCACAGGCTTAATCAGACACTACACTAGTGCTGAACAGAAGTGAAGTTAGTGTGAATACTGACTTTTTTAACGTCAAGACCATGGTACCATTCGCTACAGGAAAAAAAAATGCTAGTCTGGTCAAAATCACTCGTTTTTCTTGACTAGTTCAACGGATAAGATATCTCGGTTTGGATGCGTATTTATTTGTCTTTCACCAGTACGGTCAGACACTGATCACCTGAAACTTTTCTTCACGGAAACATCCGAGATTCACGAAAGTCAACCATGGTACTTGAAAGCAGGATGCTTGTCTGATTGGTTTAAATGTAAAAGCGAGTCAAAGCAGCATATTGGTATTTAAGTAATAGTTATTTTACGTTATGCAATAAACACAAATCCCCGAGTCATACGAGCCAACAACATCATACGAGAAAGTATAACTTGGGAGGGAGTGAGTTTTTTGGGGTTTACGATGCATTAGTATACAAGTTGTTCTTTAAATGTGACCCATTAGTGAAGGTGCTTGTAAATGTTGGTTAAAACATTTCATTTGTATAGAAAGCAGCAGCTCAGTACCACTGCCAATAAATAAATACATCACACACCTCTGCAGGTACATGCCTAAACCATACAACATGACTTAATCTTTGAACTACAATGTTCAACATTATATGCTCTGGGAAACCCCAAACCTAAAGGAGACTGTAGAGTTGTTGAGGATGTGGTTAACATGAGGGTCACCGGAGGTAGTAACACGTGCCTTAGTTCATTCCAGAGATATGTAGTGTCAGTCTCTCTCTCTCTGCCTTGCCAATGAAGACAAACTGGCTGGCCCCCCAAAAACACAGAAGCAGACTGCAGGGACTTGCTGTGGGGTAAGCAACGTTTTCTCCAAAAGAGTTAATGAAGCAGCAGGTTGTGGTAGTTGATTTCGTGTAAGCCGAAGGATCCATTTTGGATGTGGTTTTGGGGGTTTCACTCAGTCCGTTCGAGAGCATGGGGTAAATACAGTCTTAGAAGCAAAAAAGCGAGCTTATCCACATGCTATCAGGTTGGGTTTTTAACCAGAGAAATCACGGCATACTGTGAATCTGCCTTTGTTATAATCCGGAGAACAGTCAAAAACAGGCCTTGGAGTATAGAGATCTCACAATGGAATTCAGCTTTGTGTTTATCACCTTTGGACACCAACAGGAGAAAAAGTAGAGCCCTGTGAAAGTTTAAAAAAAAGTGTTAAGAGAGACTGAACGGAAAAAACAAGATTACTTATTTTGTTAATCTAGATTTGTTAAAAAAAAAGAGAGTCTTACCAGTTTTTCACTGCCAACATTGAAGAGTAGGAGAGTTACACTGTTTCGATGGCGTTCAACTTGTTCCTGTGTTTAAAAACAAAAAGCTTCAGCAAAAGTTCTCAGTTTAGACCTCAAGATTTATGATACAGATGATGTCGTAAAGCTGGAAACTGGCATTTTTCCTGGCATTAATCTGATATCCTTAGATTAACGAATGTTGGCAGCACTGATAGTCTGGTACGTGTCAGGGAGGATGAAACCCTCTATCCCTACATGACCTTGAAGAAAAAAAAAAAACAGGATCCAACTGTCTGTAGGAAGGATTCAGCTTCTATAGAAGTGTTTAAAATGGCAGAGTTAATTAATTAAAGGTAATAATTAAAGGTTGTTTTTTAATTCTCTCACTTTTCACAAACTTTGATCTGCTCCGGTGATTTTATTTACTTCTGCACATTTTTGTACTTTTGTTTTTTAAGCCATTCCCACGTTTCTGTATATTCTTTATGTGCTTTTTAGTAATGTAATTTTGTCTATTTTCATTTGATACTTGCCAATTTTTATTGTTCAACAGGCAAAATGTGATTAGTGATTTGGTACGAAGCTTACTTTTCTGATATTTCAGCATCTAGTGGAGGTGCAGTCCCTTCTGTTCCTGTGAAATGTCCACCTTCTCCAGGATTCTGTTCAAGATCGTCCCCGTTCCTCCGAGACCGGAGCTGTTCAAAGATAGGAAGTCTTTTTTTTTAATAATGCTCCAGCTGAAATCACCAAATCACAGTCTGCACAAGGCAGACTCAAGAGTTGAAAGGCTATCACCGGCTGTCATAAATACCAAGAACAAAGAGGTATCTACTGACAATAAAATGGACCACTTATAAGCTTAACAGCTTAGTGTCTTGTGTCAAAGGTCAACTTACCTTCCACACCAGCAGGAATACCAGAGCGAGGAGTGGAATGAACAGTAAAGAGAGAAGGCTTCGCTCCACCACCTCCTTCAGGGGACTGTGTTCTTGATCTGTGGCCAAGAAGACAGAGGAAAAGACGCTATAACTCAAGAGCCGTGGATATTGTGACTCTCTCATACCCGGGCTGAAACAGATCTGACTCTTAAAAGGCAATTCAGGTGATGCTTTCAGAATAGATGGTGATCGATGGAGACAAACACTCAGTCTGCACACATCTCAGCTCTTCCCCTTTTACCCCCTAAAGATGAACGTGATTGTGCAAAGCTGACCTCAAGCATCCGAGAGAAAAAACATGCAAGGCGCATTTCTGAGAGGCGCGTAAACTTGTTGTTGTTATCCAAGCGTGTCGTCTAACCAGAGAGTTGCACAAACCAAGATGAATTGTTTTTTAATGGGTTAGTTTCTTACATGTGACAAAACACTGATCTAACTGTCTGAATATCAGCACAGTGACAACAGTTCTTCTTTTATTCCACATAGTTTTTGTTTCTAATGAAATGTAAGAAGGACTTTAAATGAATTTCTCCATTGGATGGCAAACAAGACAAGACGTGAGACCTTAGTTGTGAAGAGGAATTCGCTCTGCAGAGCATCAATAATCGAGTGACAGCAGCTCTAGGGAAATGGGCTGACTCGCTCGACAATGTGGCAAAAACTGGAGCCGGCAAAAGCTGCCACTTTGACACTCCAGCTGGGCTGGTTTTGAAACCTGATCACAGACTCGACACTTTGTTTTCCAAGAAATAGTGGGAATTGCAAACTTACGTGATTTGCAGCCTGTTGCACACTCTGTTTCTTGACTGCTGCTTGTGGTGGGTGATTCTGGCAGATAGAGACAAAGCAGAGGAAGAGATTTGATTGATTTGATGTACTGGTGAGTTCAGAGTTACGGGAAGAGACGTCCAAGGAGGTATAAAAAAGGGCGGAAAGTTAGTGCTGCTCGATGAAAACATTCCTTTGTCAGGTGCTAAAAAGTTAACTCAACACTGTTTTTTTTTTACCGCTCCAACACATAAAAGATCTGATCCAACCACTCCAGCAAAGAAAAGCCAAGCGCTTGGGAAGATTGGAAGATTGCTCTGTAATCAACACGTATACAATCAGGTTTCGGCCCTTTTCTTCCTTTCACATGCGCCGCCTGGGGACATCTTCTCTCAGTCCTGTGACTCAGCTACGTCTCAATGGGCCGTCTACGCACCGAGACCGTTTTCAGTTTTTATCTCGCAGAGTTCTTGTGAAGGAATAATGGTTCCTGGATTAAAAGCTTCTCGAAATGGCCACAGGAGATCTGTCCTAAATAGGGCACTTTCACAATAGTCCAAAGAGGGTGGTGTGATTTTTTCTTTCTAGTACAAAAAAAAGTGAGCTTGTAACTGGAATGTTGCTGCATTTTAAACATGCGTGAAGTGTGACCTACATCAGTTGTTTCGATCACATGGATTTGCAGAAACGTCGTCCGTCATGATGCACTAGCGTAAAAATCAGACCATAGGGATGGTTTGGATTCCTTTGCAGAACTTTTTACCCTTCCACAGCGAATGGCTAAAATCTGCCATCCAGTTCGGTGAGAGAACTGTGAGATTATGGCTGCACGATTTCGTCCAAAAACAAAATCCAGATTTTTTTCTCTGAAAACTTGATTTTCGAGTTTTTATTCAGTGTCAACTTCACTTTGAAAATAAGTTTTTCTACCATCTCTCAAAATGAAACAACTGAAATCAACGTAGTGCATATGCCAAGCCAGTAAGTGGCGCTGTAACGTTGATGAGGAAATGCACAAAAGACAGAAGAAGAGTACAGACATGTGCATCGCCATAAAAGACTATCGCTGTGTGTCACATAATCGTTTCCACAGATGCAGATCGACATCCACACGGAAATGAAATGGTAGTCATTTACGGTTTTACGCAGTCACCCGAAATGCCGTTTTTCGTGTGGCTGAAATGCCGATACGACAAAAAAGTTTTGCGTTTACTCCTGAATTCATTTCCGTGTGGACGGGTTGATACCGCCTTAAGACAGACTTTGCAGCGGGGAGTGGTTTGCTCTTCATCCAAAACTATGAAGTCGTACCAATTCCACATGACTGACTTGCTCTTGTTCTATTTAGCCACGACATTATCGCCTTCTTTTGCAAACGCCATGTTTGTTTACATGGGTGTGTGTGGGAACTGGGGAGCGCTCCCGCAGGAAGGGGGAGAGTACAATGGCCTGGAGGCACGAGACATGATAGAGAGGAAAATCAATTTGACGATTTTACTTTTTTAACATCGTCAAAATCAAATAATCCGATTACGATTTAAAAATGATTCATCTTGGAGCCCTACTGGGACATGTGTGAAAAGGCTGAATATTTAAAACACTAACAACTCTTTGATATCCCTGCGGTCTCATATTTCTAAACATAAATAGACATACGTTTTTAGATGTTCACGGGTCTTTGGAGTATATCATTCTCACTAGGATTACTTTCCTTTCCGCAAGCTGTTGAATCATATTTAAAAAATTGTTTCCATGGCAAGATTTGAGGTATTTGGGAAAACATGTGTTTCGTTTTTAAGCTTTTAAAGCTTCCCAATAAATCCGACGGTTTAGCTGCAATTAATGTGAGAAGAGTGAAAAAAAAAACATGTTTTTGAGGATTATCTCAGGACTTAAAAGGAAACCTTTCCTCACGAATCCCACACAGTTGGCAGTCTATCAGGTGATCTTATCTCCCATAAGGGATTTATGGGAGGGATACGCATTATCACCAACACCCATGAATAAATATCAACTTCCTTTTTACCATGAGGAGTTAGTATGTGAAAAACAATTCTCTTTCATTAAAGAGCACAACCTTACAGTATCTATAGACACACTTTCTGCATTTGTCAATATAAAGTTAAATCTCGACCTTTCCAGCGCCACATGAATAGACAAACCCGACCTCAAACTCATTAAATCCAAAAACATTTACTCTGTCCAGGCGGTGGCTGGACAAACTGAGAGGTCTCTGTCCAGATTGGTCTGTTTATTTTAGCATCACATCCCCAGATAGAAAATTACAAGAGTTCTCAGAGTACTCTTGAGAGTATGTCAATCACACTTTATTTATTTGTGTTTTTCTTGCAGATCTTTTCTCTTCAGGAGGAACATATCACAGCTGTGTCTGGGTTTCATTAGGACTTGAATTGGTCTGTTTTGTCCCCTTGAGGTTTTCTCAGGCTATGTTGTCACCCTGAGTTAACTTTAACTTCAACACTTTTGTTTACAAATGTACCTGCTAATTTCTAATATAGTATGTATGTAAGTTATAATCAAGTACACAGAGAAACATCAGGAAACACGTGGGAAAGTTGGACGTGAAAGTATGAGCTCATGCTTTGTGAAGCCTGTGACAGCTTTGAGTGAAATATTTATGAAAGGACAATAATTGGAGCTGCATCTTTTTTATCCAAACTTAATCCTGGTAGTAGCCAAACATGTGACCTCTCAGGCTGCACGCAATCACAGTTCTGGACCAGCATCAGGTTATGGTGCAGTAAACACAGAAGCAACAATCTGCAGGAGAAGGGTCCAATACTTAGCTGCCAATGGATTTTCATTTACAAATAAAAAATAAAATAATAAAATCGACCAGGAAGTGTTTGGAAGATGAAAAACGGAAAGCAAACTGTTTTATGTTTTTCGTTTTGATCATAAAAATCAGAGAATAAAAAAACTACTCAGTATTTGACTTTCTGTGATGTGGCTTTAAATGGAATTCGAGGATCAAAATATGTGCGGGGAAATCTTGTGTTTCAAGTTTCATACATTTTTTTGCTGTGACCCGAAAGTAAGATAGCCAAGATATGACGCTGGCTTATCAAGTCTTCTATCTCTCTTTCTCTCTCTGCTAATAAGAGCCAAAGTCTCGCTCAAAGTCGCAACATTCAGGTCACAACTAAATAGTAAATGAAACGTGAAACACAAGATTTCCGAGCACGTGTTTTGATTTTTGATTTACGTTTACAGCCACATCACAGAGATTCAAAGACTGAGTTGTGTTTTCTTTCTCTGAGCCTCACTGATTTTCATTTTTCATCTGAAAACCAACATCCGTTGGCCGCCAAGTACCGAGAGGGACTATTGGCGGGTCATTTCCAGTGATTTCAGCTTTGTTCAATAACACAGCCAGACCACACAAACAAACTCAGTACACATGGACATGGGAATAAAAGAAAATCTGAACAATGCAGTGGGACCAGATTCTTTGAGTTTTTACTCGACTAGATAAATAAATATGATCTTTCTATAATTTAATTTATGTCACCTACTTTTCAACCAGTTTCATATATTGCCAGTTAAGTCCTGCCCACATACTAAAGGACCAAAATATTAAAATGTCAATGTTTACCTGTTGAATATGCTTCTGTTGTTTCTGTGTACGGTGTAGTGGTGGGGCAGGGAGGAGGCTCACAGTCATCTGAATCCTCTCTTAATTGTGCAGCTAGGAGGAAGTCTTTGACAAAGTCAAAGTACCGTGCTGTCGGCCACCTCTCTTCCCTGTAGTGGCACTCAAAGTCGTACATAATCGGCTCCTGCAGACACACAAAACACAGTTCAAGGAAACGAGGACAGCCTTTGAAGAGTGGAGTTAAATGATTAACTTTTATTGGAGGAAACCGGGAGACATGGTTTGAATGTTCCTCCGAGGTTGTCGGGGGGGGAAACCCTTCGTGAGAAACATGTGCCGAATGGTTAAGATTTAAAACCTCGCTTTTTTGTTTCATTCTGGCTTTTTGGTCCTACCAGGAGAAATCAGTGTCCAGCACATTGTTGATCATGTTCCATAAAATCTGGAGCTTAAGATGCGATTTTAATACCTTTGGCCTAAAAGTGTTTTTCAGAATTTCTTCCATCTTCCACTTTGAACAAACATGTAGCTCAAAACTCTGCATGCTAGCATCAAAGCCAGGGCTCAGTTTTAAGTACTGTAATACGTGAAAGTCCCAACATTATTATCACATGATTAGCATTAGTATCTGCAGAGCTATTTCGGATCTCATGCATGTTATTAAACTGGCTGCTGAAAGCCATCTTCGTGTTTTATTCGGTTTATCTTACTGCACAGACTTACCACAGACCCCAAGTTGAGCCGTAGTTCTTGGAGCATCTGGATGAATATGCTAATATCTTTTCTGTTGGATGAAATGTTTCCAAACTTATGCGCTAAATCTTGTAAACTCTCCTCCAAGTAGAAGACGTTTAATTTTACCCAACACATCCCACCCTAGAAGAAGAAGAAGAAGAAAAACAAAACAGATATGAACTTCAGCGATTAATCCAAGTACAGTCGGATGAAAAATAATTAAGTGATTATCAGACTAAAAAAAGAAGAAGGGGGAGGGTGATAAGTAGAGAAAGGCTCAGTCCTTGAGTCCTAGATTCACTTTCACATTGAGAACTCCTCAGACATGACAAACTTAAGCATCAGAATGTGAAGGCGAGCCAAAATTGGTGAATAATATGGACTTCCTCTTGCTCAACTTGTGTCAATGTGATTACGGTGTGAGTACTAGTAAAAGGAACCAGATTTTTGAAAATACTCGTGTCTACTGAAAGGAATCCAAAATGTTAATTTGGTTAATTTAACAACTCTGTTATGATCGTGAAGTTTAAGTCACAAGTTATGACTGAAAGAGCTGATAATTGCTCGTGACATATGTAGGGCAGTCAGCACAATATCTTACCTCTTCTCTTGACACGTAATGTACAGGAATTTTGTAGTCTTTGGGAATATTTTGTCTCTGGAAAAAAAAAACAGAAACAGATAGTAAATTTCAAAGAAAGTCTTTTTAGACCTGAAAAAGCATGACTTTATAAATTCATACTATTTAGTGTGTAATGACACTTAAACAAGGTCTTTTCATGGACGTTAGATCAGAGCGTTGTCCTTACCAAAATAGAGAGTCTTGAGATGTCATCTGTCACTGGATTGACGTCAAATTTACTTGAATGCACCCCAAGTGTGAAGAACAGCAGTAAATGGACACAAATCCGTATCCAAATCTGTGGGTAAAGGATAAAAAACAACAACTTTGAGTTAAGCGGGGACGACACATGATCCTCTTACGATAGATAATGAATTACACAAATCGTGCGTGAGTATTTCTATCTTAAAAATATTGATTAAAATAATTTGCACTGTCATTGTTACATATCATGTAGCAGTTTAATTAAAGCAGAAGACAAATCAAATCTGGTTTACGGCTCGTTGAACTGTTTGACGTATAAAGACCTGGGGACACACCGTCACACCTAAGAGCTATTTTCTTTTCCAACCAGTTGGCATGTTGACAGAATGCATTTGTAAGTTCAAAGCTGCTCCTTCAGTGGAGCAAATCAATGAGACTCTGTAGTGAAGGAGATTTTACAGCAGCTTACAGGCGTAGCTGGCAATAAAACGAAGAGTGGAGTTCAGTGTACTGCCTAATTGTATCTGAAGAAGACACAACACACATAGTAGTTTACAAGATAGATCAGTTATCACAGCAATATTACCGAGAACAGTACAGCGAGTGTTGCTTTGACTTTTCCAACAACCTCAGCTCAAGGTCAGAGCTGTCCTGGATCAGTCTGTAGCTGTTATAAAACACAACTGTTCGCACGAGAAGCACTTTCAGAGGCACACAACGCCAAATCCAAATGCATTTGTGGCTGTCAGCTTTCTCCATTAGAGGTTTACATTTGGGACTCGTTATTTTGGGGATGTCAAATTGATCCTGGATATCAGATCCTTTACAGCAAAAGTGCATTCAGCAGCACACCCTCCATATAGCAGCAGCAGGTATTGTGGCTTCATGTTGATATTCTCTACTGCTCCTAATCGCTTCATGCTCTTAGCAATTTAGCTTTACACAGTTTTATCGATGCAGAAATTCTGTAACTCAAAAGTATTTAGTAGTTTAGTTGACTAAAGCATTAGTAGTCAACAAAAGAATATGTATTTTTCTTATTGAAGGCCTGAAATAATGCTTGAATTGTATGTCTAAACAGCACAACCATCAGCCACAATGCAAGGCTCTAGCTGAGGTCATAATCTACTGCCATACTTCTATAATGCTCCACTACCAGTATACAAACAAGCACAGATGACAATCAGAATCATGCAGCGTCTGCAAAATTGCCAAAAAGAGGGCGGAACGCTGTCTGTGGACTGTAACATAACAACCCGGTCAGAGGAATGGGTGGCCAGCACTGGATTGTGTTGTAGTTTAAAGTATAATATAGTATATAGGGCCTTTTGATGGTCGAATCAACACTGAAGCTATGTCTCTGGTCCAATGTCATTTCATAATCACTCTTTATTCCACACAAAATGCAGAAGTTACTGCAAGAAAATTCACATGAAAAATTTGAGATGTTCTGATATTCCCTCTCATACCGAGTCCGATGCGCCTGCCGATACAAAGAACCAATCCGATACCAGTATGTTATTAAAAAAAAAAATTATACCAGGCCTGCATGACTGTAATATAATTATCATTGTGGTCTGGATTAAACCGTTTGTGAAACACAAATAAAAAACAACAAATTCAATTTAACCAAATAATAAATATTTTTGAATAAAAAAGTGAATTTAAACAGAACAGAGCTAACGGAACTAACCAGTAAATAAATTACTAATTTAATCAATTTAAGCGTCTGATAAGTAGTAGTCTAAATACTAATTTAAGCATCTTTGAGCACCTGTAAAAGCACATTATAAATAAGATTTATTATTATTATTAAAATAAATTGTGTGGTATCAGATCGGTGCCTGGACTCCAGTACTCGCCGATATTGGTGCCGGCATTTTGGGCAGTATCGGAGCAATTTCCGATATCGGAATCGGTACAAGCCTAATAAAAATCTCAACCAGGGATGTTTATATTTAATTGACTGAACTTGTGAACATCATCAACCTGACCAGTTGGCACCAGAATTACTAATTGGTTGAGAGAATTATAATTATCGTTATTATTGTAAAGTGTAAAAGCTGGTCATTTTTCATGTCTTATCTATTGTCTAACCACCCGCCCCCCTTCCAGTCAGGTCTTCAGTTTCAGTGGCCTTTTGACATGTGAATGACAGCCTGTAGACTTCTAACGGCTGGTGGTTCTAGCTCTGCTCAAGTCGAACACACTCAGCAAACCAGTTGGAGAAGTTAAAGAAGTTGTTAAAGAAGACGGGGCAGGCTGGAATTGTACCTCACTTTCAAGACTCTTCCTTCTATACAAGGAAAACGTGATTTAACCACAAGGCTAAACTCGCCCAAAGTCACAGCAAATATAATTAACCTTTTAAGACTCAATTCAAATAAATTCAACTCTGGATTTCTCCTTCTGATTTTGTGTTTTCATTTGGTGTTCGAAGTTTTTTTGGGGGGTATAATCTTTGGTATTGTTTCAGTCAGTTGTAATCCCAGTTTAAGACCTCTACATAAAGGCAGACTCAAAAGATTCATAAGTGAAGGACTTCAAATAAAAACCCAACTGCTAAAGTAAACATGCAGATCCTTTCATAGAAGTTACAGAAGCAGCTTGAAACTGACAAACCAGCAGCTTGAACTGGTCAGACCTGCATGTGTCGGACCACCAGTGAGCTGTCCTCAGCCGCTGAAGCGAACGCTGGCTTTTTGCCCGCTCTTGGTGCCGTGAGAAATGTAAACTTCAGATAAAGTGACTGTCCTGTTGGAGCAGTTGATGTTGTTTGGACTTGCAGGCAATTATTGTGACACTATTAAATACCATCATATGTGTTTACACAAGATGAAAAGCAACTGTTAATCTGAATGTGTGTGCCTGTTCATTCAGTCGTAAGAAATCAGAGTTTGCTCTGACCTTACTGTCGTCAGAAATGCAATGTTCAACTCTAATATGCATATTTAGAGTTCCTGCAACTAACAGCCGAACATGTAAAAATCTGTCCCGTTGAAATCTACACCACTCAACACAATGGAGCAGTCAGCCATGCGCATAAGGACAGAATCATACAAACACGTGGACGACTTCCTGCTTTTGGTTTCAAGCTATTTTGCAGATTGACAGTTGGTGATGGCAACGCGCCAACAGAGAAAGTGTTGAGCCAAGATAGGCGGCGAATAAGACTGCGAGGCAAACAAACAAGGCTGGGAACAATGCACAACTTCAAAAAAATACTTTTGAAGTTGGACTTGCATATGTTCCAGAGGGATGGCACGTCATTAGGCATGAATGTAAAGACGACAGGACTATGAATCACTGCGTGCGTAAATACACGCGGAAACTCATCAGATCAATTGAAGAAATGAGGACGTGTGAGGTTTTCCCATGGTTGCAGGCCTTTGATAGGACTGAAGCTGCATTGTCTCGCTGCGAATTAACAGTTGCCGTTTATTTGGCTAACCTCTCACCTCTGACCATATTATGCAACGGAGCAACAATTCGCCTCTTAACAGGGATTAGCCGGGTCAGAACCCAACCCAAAACAATCCTGCAACTTTGAAAGTGAACCTCTACTTTTGTGAATAAAGCTTTGAGTGCTTCACAAAAAGCACTCAGTGAGAGGGATAAAAAGATCATAGTGAGCTGAGCCACATCTAATCTCGGGGAACTTTAACCAGTACAACAGGACTGTGTTCTATAGTTTATTTAAGCAACGGTTTGATGTCCGACGCTTGTTGTTTGCAGCAACAGTTACGCACATTCATACTTCTGCCGCCTACATTTTCTCTGAGATTTAAAAGGTCTGTCATTTTGCAGATCTCAGAGGCAAAGTCCCACACCCACGTTCCTGCTGTTGCTATATATTTGTCAAACAGAGCCACAACAGGAAGAGAAGGAAACAATGATCCATCAACAGCAGGAAAAGGCCGAAGGAAAAGCGTCCGTGTAAAAGGTTAGATGGGATGTTATTCAATTACATCGAGCTCTCGCAGATACACAAAACTTATCATCTTTGCATAGCCAGCAGGGACGTTAAGAAAGCAACGTCTGAGGAGAGAGATTAGGAAAAGCCGAATGTGTACATAAATGTGTAATTCATCACCGATGCAGCAGCCTCTGCTTGTCAGGAAGCTCTTTTGTTCGGGGAAAATAAAACCAGACACCCTGCAGTACATCAGGTCAGGCGTCTGCAAGTGGCCGCACAAGTTGTTCAGCAGTGCAAAACTTGACATTTACCCTCGGAGACATTATTTAACTTAATAGATTTTAACAGTGTGTTGGTGGGGAACAAGTCAGCTCAGGTCAGGTTATGTGAACTTGGGAAACCTTTCTTTCTGTTTTTCAAGTAGGGCAGAACTTTTTATTTTTAATGAAATTACATTCTGTTCCCAAACTAAAAACCGAACAAATGCATTGATTATATTTTTTGTTCAATCGTAATGAAGCACACTTTTCAAGTCATCAAAATGCTTAAAAATGCCTAAAAGTTACGGCACTGCAGGTTTATTTCTTGCTAAAAAGGATAGAAATCCATTCAGATGCACAAAGATGCCACTCCATTTTTTTTTTTAAATGAGCATCTCGACATATATGGTAGCATGACTTGCAAAAATAAAACCCAGACACACCCCAAACTATTTAATGAGGTACTGGTTTGATGAACACCTGCCAAGCCATGAAACAAAACCGAGCGACTTGAATTTTTTTACGACAAGAGCAGCTTGACATCACCCAACAATAACATGAGAGACGAGGAGGCCGTGCCCAGAAATCACAACAATCACTGAATCTTTATATTAACTCTTTCTGAAACAGCAGACCTGAGATTTTACGTCTTTATTTTAGGGGTGGGGTGATGCTTTTATTTCCAATGAGTGGGGGGAGACATAAAGCAGGAGGATGGGACCTTTTGAGATGAAGACCGTCTCCTCTGGATATGCAGCATGACCTTATCTAGTAAAAATACCAAAAAGTGCATTTTATATTTGGAACATAGACCAAATCATGTTTTTGTTACTATCCAAACTAGGGCTGGGCGATATGGCCTCAAATCAATATGATATATTGAGCAGTTCACCTCGATAATGATAAATTGATAACTACTCCACAAGCTGCTCACCCCCTCCCACATTAACTCCGTCTACTTCAGCTGCTACAACTTTCTCCATCTCCTCACCTGTCTTTCCCTCTTTGTTACAGACTGGATGGGGTGGAGTCACGTCTCTGATGTAGGACAGTGTCTTAAAGGGACATGAGACCATAGCCTACTTACACACATATAAAACAAACTTTTATTGATTTAATTTTTGACACAGAATATACCAATACTGGCAAAATGATGTTGGTTATTCTCGTAAATTTTGGTATCGGTAAATTTTCGGTTAATCGCTCAGCCCTTATCCAAACACAGATCGCAAAAAAACCAACAATCCTATACAAACATTCTGGGATGTCTCAAACCCTGCATGCACTCTTAATTCTATCATTAACGTCACTCACATGCCTTAGTTTTTCGCAGTTAGACTTATCGAATGAGAGACAAGCATATTGACCTGTTTTCGTCTACTCTGATCTGACATGTGTTTGCCTGGCTGCCTTTGTAGTGCTTCAGCAGAGGCTGCTGCGCTATAGCAAAGTGAATTACACCAGAAAGCAGCTTGTTACAAATGCTAGGGACCCTTGAGAGGAGAAAAAAATGGTTCCAACATGTGCTTAGAGGCTCTTTAGATGTATGTCCACGGTTGATTTAATGCCTGAAGACTTAAAGATGGAGCTTTAAAATCTGTCTTCAAGCTGCTACAAACCAGCGGGGTTGTCTGTTTACATTCACTTCATAGCTTCAAATACACTTTCACCGCATCTGCTTTCAATGAATGGGGATTTCTATCAACACTTTCACTGACACTGCCCTGTTTTATCCCTGCTAAGTTTGTTTGAGTGATGAATCACTAGGTAGTGGCTGCTAATGCCTTCGTGTCAAACAGCATCGCTGCGCTGTCGTTATTATCCTAAACCTTGTGGTCATCCCTGTGGGGCTTTTTTGAGAGAACATAAAGGGGCCAAATAAACACAGCAGGATGTGATATGTAGAGTGGTGACAGTAAATGTCTTTCTGAGACAGATTCACAGCCAGCTAAAAGGCACTGATGGCGAAGTTTCACTCTAAGTGAGTTTTGATCTCACGGGAGCTCTTGGTGCTGACAAATGGCTTTTCTAAAACACTTACCAACAGATTTTCATAACATTTGGAGAGCAGATTGGCGTTGGGGGAGCATCACAAGTAATTATATATTCTTATTATAGTCTAGATCGGACATATCTGCAGTTAGATCTTGACTTTGCCCCCAGGGACTTGTAGTTTTTGATCATATGATATGGAAGGCAAGACTCCAAAGGAGGTTTAATGGATATCACCACTTCATGTTTTCCCACACGTCTCCTCCTCCTGTTTTTTTTAAAAAAAGAAAGTGATTCATTTCCCTTTCCATTGACTCAGTAACACGCATCACTGCTCTGACCGCTACACTTTGATTATTTTGTTCAATCGGCTTGATTTTCGCTCACCGTGCAGACCTCTCACTCAATATTTCACACAAAATCTGCTGCTGACTGAGCAAGTCTCCGCACTCCTGCGGCTATGAGCGCATCGATCTGTCTAGACGGTTTCTCTTGGACTTTGTCAAACTTTCTCCTGCCATGTGAGAACATCATCGTCATCACTGTACACTGCAAACGTCTCATTTACAGTGAAAACTACCATGTTAGACTGAATATAGGCTGTATTCACCTTATAAAACAATAGGGACGGGAATCACCAGTGGCCCCACGATACGATATTATCACGATACGTTGGCCACGATACGATATTATTGCGGTTTTTAACATTTTGTAATACAGTGAGTTTAGCGATACAATGTATTGTGATTTATACCATTTTTTCAACTGTTCAGCTAATTCAGCATTTGTCTTTCTATATGTTTGTCTTCTTTACACTGTATTTTATTTTCATGTAGCACATCTCTCTCTAGACAAACAGTTGATTTATTTTACATTATCATAGATTTGACTTCATTTAACAATTAACAACTAATTTGAAAAAAAAAAAGAAGATACTTGGTCAAAGAGATGATACGATTTATCGCTAGACAAAATATAGCGATACTATGCTGTTAAGACAACATATGAATCTTATTTTACCTCATTGGCAGGTGATTTGATTCGTTATCAGCAACTCAAGTCTTATTTTTGGCTTGTGATGTCCTAAAACAAGATGATTATTTGGATTTGGTTGGTGAATGTTGCTCATATGGGATGTTTTTTTAACTTGAAATAAAAAGGTTTGAGTTTTTGCAGCATAATAATGTTTGCTGCTCTTAAGTTTGATTACCTCAGGTATCTGAGCCTCTCAAGATGTCCGAGTCAATGTGGTTTATCCAAGGTAATCAAAACTAATGCATATGCATCACCCCCTCACTGAGCTGCCATAAAGAGAGAAGTCCACAGGAAGCTTTAACTGAGTTGCAGCTGGAGCTACAAGCTTAGTCACAGCTTTAATGCAGTCATTGGATTATACTTGAATAGTATGAGAACATTAATATAAAGGAGATGGTATTATATAAATGCTGCAGGCAGTAGATCACTGTAGATTACAGGAACTTATCCTACACTAAGCCATGCTTTTTTCAGTGTATCCAATCAAACCAACTTCATGGGCTTAAAGAAACATTATCGAAATGGGGATTTAAATTATCTTTATGCATAATTGTTATCATATCCATCAAAATTAAACCACCAAACTTTAAGATCTCAGTACACAGTGTCTGTTTTTACTAGGGATGGGCATTTCAAGGAAAAGCACCATTGGATATTCGTTGGCAACTGTTCGAAAATAATTCTAAGATCGTTATTTGCTCTGCATGTCTGCGTCCGCTACTGAATTTTGCCATTAACTGTTGATCTGCGGACAGCGCCCCACTTTCTGCTGCATGCCTCGCTCTGAAATGGAAGTGCAAACTTTTATGATATGCTAGTTTAACCCTGCAGAGTTTGCGCTGCACTTTATTTCTAATTATGTTTTTTCAAAGGAGCTCCGCACATATCTTCTCGATGCATGTGTAAATCCCTGCATGTTCCTACCGTTTGTATGATTTGCAGCATTAACTGGGGCAACATTTAGTGTTATCACGTTATTTGGAGGAGCCAGTAAAAGGTTTATTTTGGGGGGGTTAAAAACAAAAGACATTGTGGCATGAACTATTTGATTTTCTAAATGTTAATGACTATTCAATCATTCAAAAATTATTGCCCATCCATAGTTTTTACCAAATATCTAAACAAATTCCACAAATAATGGCAATCTAGGATAAAACCAAGGAATACTTATATTTATAGTATGATTAACAGGCCGTAGATGAACAGCAACCTAACTTTTAATCTTTAAACCTACCTACGAGAGTAGGGTGACCATACTTCCTCTTTTACCCGGACATTCCCTCTTTTTGGGGGGCTGTCCAAGTTTATAAAATCCTTCAAATGTCCTGTTTTTTTAAGGCAGTTTTGAGTTTGTGTCGAGTTAGAAGCGCGTAAAAAACACTTAAAATTTACTATGCGTGACTCCTTGACTCCGCCCCCTGCGTACTCATGTCCTCTCTTTGGATTCACAGAATATGGTCACCCTATCTAAGAGCAAAGCTGCAACATATTGTACGTAACTGTTTAAATGTGCCTCATGACCACAGACAGAAACCCTGTGTTTACTTAGCCAGGCCACGTAGGAATGAACTCTTTCTCGAGTCTTAATTTTCACACATGATGTGTGGTGAACATTAGGATACTTTGATTCCTGTCTTGTTGTGAGCGGTTATTTCAACAAGCTTATAGATGAGAAACATCTCTGTTAAAATATACCCATCCAAAGCAAACAGATCTTGTTCCTACACGCTCCAAAAATGCTCACTGACTCCCAACAACACAGCTCAAGCCAAACATATCAATGGAGAATACGGCTGCGGAGAGAAAAAGCCGGATGACTTTAACTTGCTCGTTATTATGTTTGCCTAACACTCTCGGAGTGACCTTGTGACAATGAATAATGAAAAGCTGAAAATAGTTCCCATTACAGTCTAGGGCGCTGAGAATGACGACTTCTGTGTCCTCAACGAAGCAGTTTATCCACTTTTATCCTCCAAACAGAAAACCAGCTCATCATACTCGACTGAAAGTTGAAAAGTCAGGTACAATCCTCCAAACTCAGACCCTCTTATCCATCATTGTCAGGTGCATTACGGCCCTCAGTGCCTGCTCTCCTGCTCTCCCCCGTCATACTGATGCCGAGGATGACAACCCCCCCATCTCATTTTCCATCATCACTTTGAACCTGAGGCATCATTAGCTGAACAGGCTCTCCAGACCGCCGGCCTCGTCGCCCTCTTTAAACCGCATAATCTCATAAAAGCTGAACACAGCGCCTTGCATGACATTAGCCCGCCATGGCAACATGCAGCTTGTTTTGTATGAGATGGATATTTTATCCTAATCTTCAGCTGAGATCATTGTTTCGAATTTTTCCATGTGATATTACTTCCCATGTTTTAAAATGAGGATTAAAGACGGGACAGATTAGACATAAAAGCAGCGCAAAGAGGAAACAACAGACTGCTGTTGGTGTCCAGATGTTAATAAATGAAGTATTTCTCTCCCATTATCTGATTTTTGTCATGTGTGGATTTTTTTTTTTTTAAATAAGTAAAATGAATAAAATTTATACATATGTACAAACTGTTCTCAACTTCAAAGAGTCCCCTAAAGTATTTTAAAGGCTTACAAAAACCATAAGATGTGTTTTAAATCAGGTATTACTTTGTGTGTTGTTCAACAGTTCATGCTGTTTACTGACAAGAAAAAAAAACATGCTTCTTTCAGGAAGGACTCAGGAATCAGGAAGGAGCATATTTATCAATGTTTAACAGCATAATGAATGAACTCCATGACAATTCAGGTCGCAGTATTCGAAGCACGAGAGATAAGACGAGCCATTCACACTTGCCGTGAATATAATAAAGCATCTTCTCTCTTTTCCCAGTGCTTTTATCTCATATTGAAATGCGGCTCATATAAGGTGGCAAAAAGAGCAAACCCGAACACAAAAACCAATTTCCAGACAGCAGGTTTAAAGTGACCAGAGCTCTCTAACTCCACATGTAAATTAAATTAGCATCCGAGAACATTCGGTCTGTTGTCTGCTGGCACTAGAAGCACACTTCAAGGTAATGGAGAGGAGCCAGATGATTAGGCTGCATTCAACAGAAACACACTGGTTCAGAAAGACACTTCTCAGAAAGAAGAAAACGGCTCTGAAATCGTCCAGATTGAGCTATAAAATGGATTAAAACAAGCATCTGTCAACAACACCAAGAGTGAACGCCGCTTTTAAACAGGTTCAAGACAAGATAAGATATTCCTTTATTAGTCCCACAGGGGGAAATCCCAAATCACAGCAGCATATAAATACAAAAAGAGGGAAATTACAAGATGACGAAACTTAGAGATAAAAAAGATCAAATGGGTTTTGGTGGAATTTCCAGCAATGAAAAGTGACTGCCAAAAACACAAAAAGGTTGTGCTTTCCTGTCGTTTATATCTGAACTTTGACCTTTAATTACAGCTACTTACTGTGTGAAGACTCCTGTGAGAAGTTTGATGGTAATTAAACAGACTGAAATTCATACTGATGCCTTTTTAAAAACAAAACCATCAATGACCGGCATGTTGATCGGTGTTTGACAGATGACACACCAGGACTGAGCCGGACTTCTGTCAGAACATCTCAGGTTTCTACGCTGATGATGAATTTTGAAGAGCAGATGACCAAGAGGAAGACAGCGTGACATTAATGAAAGCCTTTCTGAATGACAAACTGATATGAGAGCTGTGTTTGATGGGCAGTTTATGAGGCCTACAAAATGACTGAGTACAGCTCTGTCAACGCTGCAGAAATTTCCCTAACAGAACCATCTGCACAAACAGAGGCACACAACTTGTGAGCTGAGACTAGTTAATCCCTATAATGGCAGTGATGCTAACACTAATGGGCAAGCTGCCACATTTAGCTATGGCTAACAATAAGTTCTAAGCTCTGGGTTCAAAGGATTTGTCATACAACCTGACAACAGTTGTCTTTTCATGATAAAGTCATTACATGGGATTTTCAGGAATGGTGTAAACCACATGACGTTTGTTTAACCACAGGTTAGTGTCGGTGGTCTGGAGAGAATTACACTGGAGAGAATCTTAATAGTGAAAAAGCACCTCAAATGTAACCTAGGAAACAACTCAAGTGAACTGAGTTGAACTTTAAAAGGCATCGACATAGTTCTTCTTCCTAACCCACATATATATTTTTAGCTCAGAGAGGTGACCTTATCTTGTTTTCCTTTTCTAACAGGATTTTCTTGTTTGAGATCAAACAGAGTCTCGATGCTTGGTTAAAGATGATGGCTGTAATTATGTGTGAGATTTAATCACAAGTAATAAAACTCAAAAAATAAATCTGATCTGGCTACTGAGCGCATAAAAAAAATCAAGATTATGCACATATTTGTGATCTCATGACTCCTTTAATATAGACACATCAACAACTTAGCAAATAATTGAGGACAGAGCTGGTTAATATGCACAAACTTCAAGGGGGGAATTTTGCTAAAACAAGGAAGAACTCAGAGTCACAGGCTCTGATGGTCACTCTGCCAAGTGTTAACCTTCACCAGTTCTCTGATTTACCTCTCAAACCCGTTAAAACCCGAGGCGTCTAATGCTTGAAAATGTCAAACCCATAATAAAATGATGTAACCACAAAGTCTGATTGAAAAATGCTGGTGTCACAGGCAAATGAAGATTTGTGAGATTCGTTGAGTAAAAAAACAACTTTGAAGTCTTGATCTTGTGATTGAAATGAAAATATGCATGTCTTTGGTTGGAGAATGTGGACGTGTTATTCGTATCTGATTAATGGATTATGCTGTTGGCTTAGATATCACAAGACCAAACAACAGCAGACGTCATTTAGATGTCTTTTTTTCAGGCTAAATCATGGCGGCCCATCGTGGCCGTAATTTAGCCCAAAAGAGACGTTGAAACTGGGCTATAGACAGTCAAAATCTAAACGTTGTTCAGATGTATGGTGAAGATGTATTTACAACGTCTTTTCAACCCATTTTTGCAGGTTGGGAATGGACTTGTGCTTTTATTTTCTTTGTGAATGCAACTCTTGGACAAAGAGTGTCACCCATTTAATAAAAACAAACCTTTCTTCCTGCCTCCTCCAAGATTCAAAGCTTCCTTGTACTTTTCTGTCACACATCAGTCTAAATGATAATGTTTTGTGTGAATGATAACTTTTCCAAAAATGACTTCTTGTTCTAAGCTGGGAATGAACATTGGGTTCTTTGTTCGCACTGCCAGGGGGGGATCATGTGTTCGGTCCTGTGTGTTGGTGATTTCATAGATGTGTTTACTTTAACTTTCCACTGAACTATTCAAATCTATATGTTGTGTCTGCAAAATCATCAAACTCCCTTGATCGGGCTGATCTCTAATCTTAAATTTCACATTTTTTGCAGTTTTGCACATTCAATGACTGTTGATCAGTGTAACACCCTCCAGATGGTACGGCTCAGGTACAAAGCTAAACACGGATAATTAAGAAATGAAGAAATCTGGATTGCTTGAGCGTTTATTACTTCCATCTTCTGTTTTGGGAAATAATAATGACCTCAAAGAGTAACCCTATGTCCGTTTCACTTAACAACTATGTCTGCTCTGCCCTTTGTAGAGGGTTAAGTGTTAAAAATTAGAGCAAGATGCGTATTTTTGGCACTTTTTAATGGTCAGATAAACATTTTAGCTACTTCTCTTATCCGAGTATATAATTATTTATGTTATTAAGACAGCTTTTTTTAAATGTGTCTAAATCTGATATCCGACTATTAAAACCCCCTTTACAGAAGATTCCTGCGTGTGAGATGAGTAGCATTGTCTCACTCCGAAGAGTCATACTTATTTTTCATTATCGTGAGCTGGAAATGATGATCATATGTAGTGTCTAAGCTGTAGGACAGCTGTCTGCTAACAGCCAGGGCTGTAGCTCCAGGTGATGATTACTGACATGGTTTATGGCAGGTTGTTGTAATGCTGAACTACCTGGGTGGAGAGACAGGCAATGATTGCAGGCATCTTGTAGCACGGTGCGGTTTTGATGTAGAAAACTGAGATTAAGTTGTCCGTAGACGATGTGAAACTGGTTCATAACCTCTAAACCAGAGTAACATGTAGCCAACGCAAGCATGTGGATGTTAACCTGCCGGGAGGACCAAGGGCTGGTGGTGCTAGCTCTGCTGGTGTTAGCCACACTTGGTAAACCAATTTTACATTGTTTAGTTAAGCTATGTTTGTAATTTTTCTGCATCTAAACTAGTCAGCTAATTGGAATTTTTATCACTGCTCCCAACCTCTAGCTTGATTCACATCATCTTCTTTGCTTAACAATTGAACAGGGAGCCATAAGGGACAAGTGGATGCAGTTGGACTCTCCTTTGTTTTGTAGGGTTAGGGTTAGGGAGATGAAAAAGTTTCGGAACCATAACAACAAAATATAACTAGTCGAAAACACAGTTTTAGGAGCGCACCTGTGAGGGTTTTAACTTATTTTGAAAAGTGAAACCCTGAAACAAAAATCCCAGGACTTTACATCTTGAAACCACAATAGTCAGCTTTGAGGATGTTAAGCCTTGAGCACTTCAGTAAAAGCCAAACCAACATCCACTTCTCTAATGTTTCCTGAATGTCTGTGATGACTAATGCGCCTTGTCTTTCGTTAAACTTTCATTTGTGTGGTATTGCGTTACGTGACTTCCCATCCAGCCAAGAATACCTGATCATGTGGAAACTACAGTTTCCCTAACAAGCAGACGCACAGTTGTGCATGAAGATTTCCAAGAGCGTTGGAATAAATCAAAGCCATCTCAATGCCCTCCAGCAGCAAACACTCTGAGTCAGATGTTCACTGGGATAAGCCATTGTGCTTGTAAAAATAGTAAGAGGTCCTGCATGCATAAAATACCTCAAACTCATCATCAAAGCAAGATATCATTATATTGTCCTGGGGCACTTACAAGAAACAAAACAGATTACTCATCGCTGATGACAAACAAATCATCCAACCCCAACCATGACATCTTTTGTTGGTTGATTTGTTTCCTTAATAAGCTCGCCGACTGAGACTCTAAAAATAGCTGCTTACATTGGCTAAATTCCTCTGTCAGATCACTTTACTAATGGCAAGACTTTGTTTGTGACTCTGATGATGGAACATGCCGAACATGGTAGAACTCAGGGGTGGGAATCACCAATGGCCCCACGATACGATATTATCACGATACTTGGGCCACGATACGATATTATTGCGATTTTTAACATTTTGCGATACAGCGAGTGTTGCGATCCAATATACTGTGATTTATACAATTTTGTCAACTGTATTTTATTTTCATGTAGAACATCTTGCAAACCTTACATATAAATATTTGTTGCACTAACTTTCTCCTGCTCTATGGTGTCACCTCTGCCAACCTAACTCATTTGACTTCATATTAACAATTAAATTGAAGAATCGATACCTGGTAAAGGAGACGATACGATATATCACTAGACAAAACATCGCAATACTATGCTGTATTGATTTTTCTCCCACCCCTAGTAGAACTCAGTTCCCTATGTGAAAGTCCTGACACTGATGTTGCATCCTGAGGCCTTACGTGAATAAACGTTTCAAAAGACCTTCAATTTGAAGTTTCCTGTAAAAAAAATCTAAAGATGTTTCAGCCATGAAAGTGTAAAATATCAACTCAGGGACAAACAAAGAGTGACTTTTATAGTTGATACAGTTGATTAAAAAATAGTTTTCCAGGGAGGCGTGATTACAAAAGACTAACTACATAACTGAGAAGAGCCACCAATGTGGTAAATTTAAACTGTGTTGTTGATTCCTGCTGGTCTCAAAGGAGCCTTATAATGCTGATCAGTAATTTCATAGATACATATGATAATATAATGATGAATATCCACTATAAATCCTGGAGAAGTTGCATGAAATGAGACACAAAAGACGGCATCCTCCTTGGATATGGTCAGCAGCGTCTCCGGATGAGCTATTCAACACCTGGCCACCACCTGGAGTCAGGTCACATCACCCTATTAAGACAGTGCCTGAGGGCGAGCCCACCCGGCCGCTCTGTCACGACACGCTGAAAGATCCTTTCACCTCTCAGCTGCTTCTCCCGTTCTGCATTTTGTTTACTTAGCGTCTCAGAAAGTTGCTTGTCAGAGTTTTTTTGGTTGTGGAGGAAAACCAGAGCTATCTTCCCACAGATGAACACCAGAATACAGTGGGAAGATTTTTATGTGATCAGAACAGGAACAGCTGTTTGTGCTCACTGCTGGATGACTCTTTAGTAAACAAAAAAGCCAATACCAGCTGCTCATGCATCTTAACTGTGACTGAAACCTGTGGCTTTTCCATCTATAAGACTCTGAACCACAAGCTGCTGAAGTGGCAGCAGTCACTCAATTTACAGCTCTTTAATTTCTTTGAAATGTTACTTTAAGGGTATTTTTCTGCATGCCACCTGCCCGACACGGCAGCTGTGTTAGAAAACTTTTTAAAAATGCTCATAACTTCCACTTTTACCACCATACCAACACCTCAGACCCCAAAGATATTCGATTTACGAGGATATAAAACAGCAAAACAGGATATCACATTTAAGCTACTGAAACAAGCTCCTGATTGGCTTAATTATCAATAACTGTCCAGACATCTATGTGTTGACAGGACACAAATCTATAACTTGCTATGTGCTCACAGCATTAGACTAAAAAATACAAAGGGAGCTCCATACTGATAACTGAAGAGGGATTTACGATGCTCATAAATCATGCAACACACTGTTAAGCTTTTAGTTAAATCACTGTGGCCTCCGGTTTGAACTTCCTGCTCACCATGTAGCCGACCGCTTCCAGGATCTGACAGCTAAACAGGCAGACCTCCGCCGTAACTGTTCATAGATCCATAAAGATTGTTTTTTTTTAATTCCCAAAGCTCTTTCAGTGTGTTTCCTCTCCTCCGACAGCCTTTGTGGTTATATACCCAAAAAATCTCACTTGTACAAAAACACATGGCCTCCTCTGACATTCTTCGAACATGAATTCAGGGATGGTTTCTTGGTGGTCCCTAGATCCAAACATTACAGGGATCAGCCACAGTTAAACACCAGGATTTAGAGTATCTAGAGAGCTTACTGTATATTTCCTTTAAATAACATTGATGGAAAGATATGCAACTGCAGGGTTTGGGTTAGATTGAGCGTGAAATTGAGTGACCACAGAGGAGTTGCACCTGCAACAGCCCTCCGACAACTTGTTGCCAAAACAGAAGCCCTGGGATTTGCTAAGAAAATCATGTTTGATTTGTGGTTTGAGCTTCGTAGTTCTCTCTTTTTCCCATCAGGGGACGACATGAGACTAACAGCAAAGAAGCAGAAAAGTTAATCCTAGAATAAACCAAAAACCACTGACTTCATTGTTGTGATGTCTGATAAATTCTGAATAAGATATATCTTAGCTCTAGGAAACGGAATTGCATAATTTCTAACCAATCGCTGGTTTCTTTTTCATCTGCCAGACCTCCTTTCATCCCTGTGAATCTCCCTCTTTTTGCAAATCTTCCTTTACTGTTTCATGATGAGTGGAAAGTCCAATCTCATCGATAACAGGGTTACACCTGAGCCTAAATTGTGTTAGTCAAATCAAATTTAGCTGTCCCATATAAAGCTTTGACTGTTTGATTCTTCGTTATTTATGTTTTGGGCATTTCCAAATGCTCTTATCAACCTACAGAGCTCATTTGTAAAAGTTTCCAAAAGTACCAGCTGTGGGCCAGAGGGTCAAACCTTGCTGTCTACTCTCGGTGTTTCATCGTTTCTACCTGTATATAACCGGCAAATGTTAGAGAGACACTAGCCATGTTCACATGTGCAAAATTTCTTGATCCGATTAAAAATTTGACGGATCAGAAAATCTGAATCCGCAAAATCAAATAATCCGATCACGGCTAGCATATACATGCACCGAGCTTTATTCAGATCAGAAGTATTTGGACATTTGGTGCAGAGTTGTCTAATTTCGCTAAAACAACCGCAGAAGAAGAAGAGTTGTATCGACGTGTGTGGTGTCAACAAACCAACAAACGCGGTAGTAGCTCACTTCATCCGATTTAGGAGTTTCCCCCCGTTAAATGTTGTCACTAGATGGCGCCCTTGCTTACATATTCTACTGTTCTGTCAAAGGTTGTACTGTGTGTGCAGAAGGGATGGATGATAAATTATCATTCACGATATATCATTAGAAAAATCCTCCATGATAAATACGATAAATGCAAGTTGATGGATAGGCGCGAGCGACGGACTCGCAGCCATAGCCCACACAGAGCAGAATAACAAACAAACATGGTCGAAGTTAATAAAGTGGACGTTTCTGAGTAGTTCGTTACTGAACGAGGCTCCACATGAGGGATTGGGGTTTAGATGAGTGCAGTTAGGTCTGCCTGACATCGGATAGTGGATCTGCTGAAAACGTTTTCACATTTGAGACTTGTTTGAAGTCATCAGTTTTCTGAATGAAACCTCCTGAACGGACCTCAATAAATAAACCAAAGGCTAAAGAGTGAAGACCGAGTCAGGCTAGAGAGTCATGATCGGGATAGGTGTTTACACGGACGCGTTTCGGAATAATGATCGGCATAAACCACCCATCTCGATCAGAGTACAATTTCTGTCTGATTGAGCCGAATTGGATCAGAATTTTCCGATCAACATGTTTACATGACGCTTCTTTATTCCAATCTGGCCTTTATTCTGATACACTTCATTGGTCTACATTGTTTTTAAAATACTCACGGCAGATTCTGGACATGCATATCAAACTTGTCTTGTCAAGTTTTGTTTGTCTGTGGATCAATAATCTGTGAAAATCAGTTCGATTTTGATTACAGAAAGAACTCAAACCTAAAATAAATCTGAGCACCTTCACATGTGCTCAAGGCCGCTCAGCTCCACGTTTAAGAACACCAGAGTAATACTAAATCTAACAGTGAAGTGTTTTCAATCATATCAATGACTGGTTTGTTTGTTTTATTTGGAAAGGAAGGCCTATACAGAACAAATTTATGTGTTATAAAGGAGCCCTTTCAGACTTATGTAAAGGCCTACAACCTTGTTGCCTGTGGATGATTGCAGAGCTGAATTAAATACGGTTCGAGTCATCTCAGGTTGACTCTTAAGGACAGCCCTTGGGGAGCAGACTGATATGCAGTTATATCTTTGGCAGACAACTGTGTTAAAAAAAGGTCTATTTCTTCCGAGTGTTCCATTTGAAACGGAGTGTTACAAATCAGGTAAGAGTCCCACATTCCTGATCAAACATCAGCTTTGCGTGCAACAACAACAGTGAGTTTATACATTTCTACCAGTTGCCTCAAACGACCGTTCTGCCTTTTCCATTAGAAACAAAAAAACACAGTGAATCTCTAAAGTGTGAAAGAAACTTTAAATTAGGGCTGGGCGATATGGCCTCAAATCAATATCTCCATATATTGAGCAGTTCACCTCGATAACGATAAATGGACGATAACTACTCCACAAACTGCTCACCCCCTACTATATTAACTTCATCCTCCATCTCCTCACCTGTCTTTCCCTCTTTGTTACAGACTGGATGGGGTGGAGTCACGTCTCCACCGTAGGACAGCGTCTTAAAAGGACATGAGACCATAGCCTACCTACACACATACAAAACCAACTTCTATTTCTTTATATTTTTGACACCAAATATATTCACGATATTCGGCAAAATGACATCGGTCATTGTCTTAAATTTTGGTATCTGTAAATTTTCGGTTTATCGCCCAGCCCTACTTTAAATGTCTGGATGTCAGACATGTTGAGTTTTCCTACAAAACCCATAAGGAATCAAGACTTCCAAGAATTAAGTCTCATATCCAAAGGAATTCAATTAGTTTTTGAGATGAGCTCGAATAACAAACTTTGATGGGTCAATCAGCGAGGGGACTGAAAAATCCCGAGAAGTGATTTCTATGGAAATCAAGTTTGCGTAACTGCAGTTGGTTCTTCGTTATATATGTGAGAAATTGTCGATGAAATGATGTACAGTCTGTGATATCTACTCGCTGCTGATTTCAACTCTTTAAGAAGAGTCTTGGATGTCAGTGGAATATCTGGATCACTCGGGGTTAAAACTCTTAGACAGACACGCAATAATCTTATTTCATACAAATTGAATAACTTGTGGAAAGACGTGCTGCCGGGCATAAACAGTGATTATAACACGAGTCATAGGGTCTAAAAGATAAGGAGCGTTAAAAAACAAGCATTTTTTTTTTTTTTTTTTGAATCAGGGCTGAAATATCTGCTGATGATGAGAAGAATGTAAGGAGGAAATTTACGGACGGTATTTTGGCTCCAGTTGGGTGCCATCAATAATTTCTTCGAGTGGAGTTTCTAAGTGTGACAGTAATTGTAGAGTGCTGAAACACAGATTGAATTTAATGTGGCTTTGAAACTGTTGGATCCAGTTAAGAAGATGTAATTATTTGATTTGACAGCGGCAGCAGCACCAGCAGCCGCAGCAGCAGCTCTGGTTTAATGCTCTGTTGACTTTCCTGCTGTTATTGTGATCTAACCCAAACCTGGGATTAAGAGATTCAAGTCTTTTTATGAGTCTCTTTTTTTTTTTACCACCAAATGCGCCTCATTCAGCTGTGCATGCAGAGGAGTGAGTTTCAGACACACGCTGAAGTGAGTACCTCTGGTAAGCTCCAGCTAAACATGTGGTAGTATAAATTTACGATGTTGATTCAAGCTCCTGATCTGTGATAATCTGCAAACACTTAAAAAAAAAAGAGGGATGATAAATTCTTGTGAAAAGACCAAATATTTCACCTCTGTAAGTCAGCGGATGTATCAGTAAAGCCTTCGCAACATCGATGGAAGTGATGATCTGTGGATTTACAGCCTCTGTTACAGCTTGGCTCCACATGCGTGTCTAAACATCCTACTCTTTAGAGCTTTTCTTTACCTGCCCTGATCCTCTTCTCTATAAAATAGCTCCCCCAGCTAAATCCCAGTGGTTTAAGCAGTAAATAATGCACTGAGGATGTGACAGGAGAGTGCTGCCGACAGGATGTGTCTTTTTACATCTCCCACAGCCCAAAGACCTGGGTGGCTTTTGGCTCCATCTCCGTGACGGCATTAGAAAGCTAGCGCTCCCTACTGGCGCCTAACGCTCAGGAAAGATGCAGACGAGTTCTCCCACTTTCTCTCACACACACACAGACGCACTGTCAAACACACCTAATGCGTCAGGGCATTTCTAAGAACTCCCCACAGTTCGAGTGATTGTTTCTTTCTGGTTATAAATTGATCTTTAAAAAAAGAAACCCTACAAACCATTCTGAACTATTTAAAACTCAAAAAGCCAGTGAAACCATGAAAACAACAACAACAAAAAAAAGGATCTGTTCAATCTTGACATGAGTTATCCCCCCCCCCCCCCACACCGCACACTTAAACAAAAAACCGCATTACTCCTATGGAAAAACAGGACCAGATCCACGGCTTTCTACCTCCACATGGTTACGTGACAGTGGGGAGCACCATGAGCTGCTGCAGGGACACTCAATAAGAAGATGAAAGGTGTATTTTAACGTTGCCAGGCACAGAGCACATCTCACTGTACAACTTCATGAAAAAAAAGCATAAAAGGAATCTGTGCTCTGAATGTGATTAAGAGAAGCAAGGCTGTTGAAATGCCCACCCTTCCTCCTGGAGACTTCAAAGACTTCTATTTGCAGACACACACACGTACGCACACACACACACACGCACGCATCCTGTGTTGTATCAGTCTTGAATATGTTTTTCATGTTGACATTTCGCCTAATACTGTAATTTAAAAGAGCTCGAGTTTCCACGCAGAGTGAGGCAGAGATTAGTCAATAGGCAGATATGCGCAGGGTTCAGTCAAACAGCCTTGGGGATGTAATGCAGGTTAAACCTGCCTTAATTTAGGTTTACACACCTTTTTACCTGCACATACCCTTTTGTAAACCATTTTCAAGGATTGGTAACAAAAAAAAAAAGTGTTGCAAGGAATCTTTACGTCAAGAATGAAGACATTTCAAGGAGGTGTTTCTGTTGAATGCAGAGTCACCATAAGGCAATCACATGCTGATATAGACGGATAATAAAGGCATTCATGCACCCCCCAGGGACAAAATGACAACTCTTGTTAAGAGCGCGAGAAAAAAAATGTGTGTAAGTGCTTTGGCTGTCTTTGATAGAAAACAGAAGCCTCATTTTTTTCATAGGGCTTAATGTCGGCCATGTGAGGGGTGGGCTCGCAGGGATGGAGGTTAAGCTGGCCCTGAAGCCTCTTCATCTTTCAAAAGACAGGAGTCTCTCTGATTGTAAAGCGGGCTGATGCATAACCTGAAGGGCCGCCTGAGATGGGGGGTGAGGAGGTGGATGAAAAGAAAACTCGACCCCCCCCCCCCCCCCCCATGCATGAAAGGTTCCCAGTCAGTTTGAAGCCAGGTTACAAACAGAAGCATGGTCAGAGGAGCAGACTGACACCCTGACCTCATTTAGTGACCAAGAATGATAATTACAAAGAAAAACTGTGCATGTAAACGACATTATAACACTACTGCAGAGGTCATTTAGGGAGTTACATCCCGGACAAACACTGTTATTCAGGTTCCTCTTGTTTAAGAAATTTCATTCCCAACAGGACTTCCTGGTTAAATTAAGGTTGGAGACAAATAAGAGGTAAACAACTCTCTTACCCTTCTTCTTGCAATGCAAATGCACTAGTTTTTAAAGCATAAATCCCTCAAACTTCACATTCCACTGAAAACTAAATTAGAGACAGTTACGCACGGTGCCAAATCTTCCCAGCAATGGACACCCAAGTGCCAGACTGGCGCCGTCACTTTAAACTCATTGATCCGGGGCTGACTGATCGCTTTTCTGCTAACGGAAAATGCGAAACGCGGATGTAGGCGAAGCTGGATAAACGCCATACAGGTGGAGTGTTTTTCTCGCAGGTTTAGCACCTTGCAGCCTTGACAAACTCGGGGGATTTTTTTTGGCAGTAACGGAAGCGCAGCAGCTCCGATCCTGCAGGAACACGCGTCTTAGAAAACCACGTTCACAATGCATGATCAATAGATAATTATCAGTAGAAACGGGCCTGATCTGGAGTGTTTTAGTGTCAAAGTTTGTAAGCAGCGTGTCCCGCTTCTCTGCGTCACCCAATTGTAAGGAAACGTTTTATTTCCTCAAGTGAAAAAAAACAAGTAAAAACGAGCACTTACTTTTGACTTCTTCATATGGAATGACAGGAGTAAATCCAGAGTTGTGCGAAAGCCTATTTTATTTTACTTCTACGGGGAGGAAAGGGGTTGTCACCATCCTGTGTGCACATATCCAATGCCGAAGTCAACAGTATCCAAGCAGAGGAGAAAAAAAAGACCCAAAAACAACGTGGAGAAAAAAAAGAGGCCAAAAAAAACAAAAAACAAAAACTGTGGATATCAAACTCTCAACCTTTGCAACCTGTCGGCGTGTGGCATGAAGCCCGTCTATCTATAGCACAGATCCAGACAGTGAGGACTCGTGGCGGCGGCGGCGGCGGTGGAGCTGGACAGTGCGCGTGGAGGGAGGGAGTTAAGCATTTATAATGATGCGTAAAGAGGAGCCAAAGTGCCGCCCTCTGACGAGCGGCACTGTGAAGACGAGCTTCACTTATAAAGAGCCACTGCCAATCTAAACACAGCAGCAGCAGCAGAGAGAGAGAGAGAGAAAACAGGTTCTCTGCACCGGTTGCTCAACACTCAATTTATTGCCAGCTAAGTGGTTTTACGAGGTATTTAACCCGTGAATACCCACGCTGAAAGATTGCGGTTATGGTTCACGCTGCGTTGTAATTATACAATCATGATTAATAACAATTACCAAACCGTAAACGATGTTTCTTTAAATGGGATATAGACCACGTACTATATAATAAGCGCGGTTATTGCTGTCACGTAAAGACACTGTGACAGGAGAGGTGAGGTGGTTTTGAAGGTTCGTGCACAAAGACTGCAGGGGAGGTCTGCAAGTTTGCAGGTGAACTTTTAAAATGCATGAAGAAATGTAACAAAGTAATGGAACTTTGGTAAGAATTGACGTCCGTGGAGATTCTCATTTATCCAGGTCATGGTTTTCTTATAGAGTCCAAAAACAGGCAACTAGACTCAGTCCAGATAGATAGATAGATAGATAGATCCCAAACTGCGAAATTCACTTGTTACAGCAGCAGAAAAATACAAAATAAAATTAAATATAAGAAATAAGTACAATACAGACTAAAAATACTAAGTATATACAATAAACACAGGCTAAATATGCTAAACATCCTAAGAGAAAAAAGTGAGATATGAAGAACGTGGGCTATTGAAATGAGTAATAAATATGAAATGTGAAATATTACAGATGGGATGATAAATAAACAGACACATTAAGGTGCTCAGTGATGTGATGTGGTAGGAGTTTTAAAAATGGACTATACAGCAGACAGATGTGAGTCCCTGTCTGACAGATGTGAGATATTAAACAGTGCAGATTTCCTGCAACAGTCTGTTGGAGAAGGAGCTCGGCTGTCTGTCCAGAGTGAGGTGGAGAGGGTGGTGGGGGTTATCCATGATGGATAACAGTTTGCTCAGTGTCCTCCTCTCCAGGAGGAGAGGGAGGTAACACTTTACAAAATCATGATTTATAAAGATAGATAGAAAGATAGATAGATGACTCAAACCAACCAGAAAATCTCTCAAAATTTACTACGCACGACTCCGTAACTCGGCCCCCATGTAGTGGTGTCCTCTTATTGGGGATTCAAAATATGGTCACCCTGAACAAGCAGATAAATCAAGTTTCTAAGGATTGCGACTATCGATCAATTTTTTTTTTCATCGATTCATTTTTAGCTGGGGTGACACTTATACAAGGTGCATGAAACATATACAAAAACACACTATTTACAGTACTCAAAAGTAGCCAGTATACATCGTAGCATTGGTACATCCAACTTTAAAAAGGTTTGAACACCAGCAACTTTAATGCACTGCAAATGTGGTATGAACTGCAACCTCAGGCTTTACACTGGATTTAGTGCACTGGGCCATTTTTCCATTGCAAATCCTTTGAAAGTCTTTCAGACACTCTCTGAAAACATCTACAGTCACCACAAACAACTTTAGGAAATACAGTTAATGTTAAATTAGGAGGCCGAGGAAAGAAGTCTCTCTTTTCATCCTCTGATTTTGCACTAATTAATTCTCTGTCACACGACAACAGAGCACAGTGAAAAGGAATAATTGAGCGCAAATATGGACCAATTTAAAGGTCCTCTGAGGAGTTTTTGGTTGTTTTTTAAACAGAGTGAAATACACAGTCATGCATCTCTTTAGTGGTCCAAAACAAATGAGACTATTGATGACAAAATTGACTATTTCTGTATCCGGAATTTCAATGTCTGGAACTGCTGTGAGGGGGTAGGTACTCTGAAGAAACAGCAATAACAACAAATACTCACAGTGGTTTCAAGTTTCTACCTTAAAGAGACGACAGGGGGAGATTTTTAAAACTTTGACGCCACTTTTTCTTAGATGACACAGATTCAGCAACAATATTAGACTTATCAGTATGTCCACAGGGGGCGCCAAAGCCAACACAAAGTTCTACATAGAAGCTTTAAAATCATCATGTGAATTGAAAATTGAATGAAGCTTCTAAAGTCATCTAAAAGCAGGAAAAATACTCAAAAAATAACAAAATTGGGCATATTTTATAACGCATAGCTTGACACAGGAGTCCAGTGTAAACTCAACTAAGTTTCTGTTGTATGACTAACTGTAGCATAACTACCACCACCATCCCTGCCAGGTGAGGCCCATATACCTGAACTTGTTATGTATTATAAGCTCTGCCGAGTCAGCCTGAAACAGTTTACAAACAAACTTATCCCTGTTTGCTGCCAAGCTGAACCATCGTTTATCTGTGCTCATTTACATCCGTGTAGTGAAACATCATAGTAATAACCCAAGTGACACAACTCATTTAACCAGCTTGAAATTCTGGTACAAAATAAAGGGAATATTTTAGTCATTCAGAAATTTGGGGCGTCACCAGAGGTGGCCAAGCATGTTTCACAAGGGGCAGTGCCTCCCCTCATCACCCCCTCTGGACACACCACTGTATCAGTACTGTGGCTATTCCAACAGTTACGAACATGAGGTCATTGTTCTTTTGCCACAAGTCTGCTCTGTTATTTTGATTTACTTCTTTCTACAGTATATGTCTATTTCACCCTCTATCTCACCTTTTTGTCCAGTCATGGCTCTTAATAAAGCAGAGTAACACCTGGTGGACACCTGCAAGACAGGACCAAGAAAAGGGGGATTATTTCTGATATTTTACCAACAATCATTCCAATTTTATTTCCAGTCAGAGAGCAGAGAAGGGTTAAAACTAAGTTTGAGATACAGATACATGCTTAAAGCTGGATTCTTATTTATGATTTGGAAAAAAAAACTACAATCTGTCTCACCCTGATCCTTTATTTTCTCTCTACTTAAAGTGTTCTCAGTGGTCTTTAAATTGTGATTATGAAGTTTTTAGCCAAAACCACATTATTGGTGTTGTTTCCAGGAGCTTTTCTTCTGCAGAGCTCCAGTAGCTTATTTGCAATTCGCCTCTGAGTCGTGGGCGGAGACAGCGCTGCTCCACACACTCCTCTTCAAGCTAGCTTGTTGTAGCCTAACATTACTAGTGTAGCAGGTAACATAGGAACTATTCAGTTCTCGGACAATAATGTCTTTGGGGACATGATGAAAGTTAATATCATAATTAGCTTTCTTACGAGCATTGCAATCCGCTAACGCACACGCTTGTTCAGCGATCGTCCTCTCTACTTTTCTGAGTCATAGCAGGACAGGGGGCGGAGCTTGGATTTATGACATAGGAAATCTCACTGTGTCTGATCCTGCTGTTTGGGTCTGCCGGAGAGATTCACAGCAACTTGAATGCAGAAATACTCAGAAATATAATTCCACACTAACTTTTCTCAAGATATGTCCTATAGCGTTAGAAAAATGCCATAACATGATTTTCATCTTTGTGGGTCTTTGACTCATTAAACTAAACCTGCAGCAGAGAAATCATCAATATTGGTTATTGTGACGTACAGTAAGAAAACTTTATGTAGACATCTAACAGTAAAATCTGTAACTAACTGTAAAATCATTCAAACCAAATGTAAGAAAAATCACTTCACCATGAAACATGAACAGGCCATGAACTGTGGAGCTGCCCTCCCTTTCTGTGTAGTGAGAGTGAGTGCAACTGTGTGAATGAGTGACTCAGTAACTGAATGAGTCAGAGTGTGTGTCATAGCGACATAAGCGTCTTCAGAATGAAGTGTACAAAATCAGAACAATGTGACCATGAAATATAAAAGAAGGAGGAATCTGGTCTATCAGTGAAATCATGTGTCATGTTTTGTTCAGAGTGACTGTGGTTCTCTCTGGGAACTGACAAGGTTGGCTGGAAGGAACCTCATCATGAACACATGTTCTTTATCTCAAGATTTGGACAGGGATAAGAAAGATTCAATGGCATCTAAAAAAAAAACTTATCTGACATGCTTGTGAATTTTTTAAAATTCTGCAAAGTTCACTTTGTTTTAAAAAGGTTTCTGTTATTTTCATGTAACATAGTTACTTAATACCAAATGTTGCCTCCACCTATTTGTACTTCATGCTCTTTCCTGTTTGTGAACTTTACGGTTACTCTAGCCCGACTGTAAAAACCAAAGGAAATGCTTGTGCAGCATGTGACATTAGTCAATTTAATGGTTATTTCATGGTGCATCATTGAGCTTGTTCTGATTTCAGCAACTCTGTGCTTCTGTGGTTGCCAAGGCTCTGTGTTGATCCCTGCCTTTCCGTTTCAAATTTGCATGTTATCCCACTGCTTGTTCTGGTTTTCTGACGGTGGTATCTACCCCCCTTTTTTTCGACCTGGGACACAGATAACAGCGACTTTCAGTTTCAGGGAACCCGGATGAATCATCATCAAAGCCTCTCCCTGGGGCCAGCTGACACAAAGTGAAATGAAACGACTAGTTTCTCAGGCTGCAGGTGAAACGTGAAAGCTTGCTGAGTATTTGCCAAAAGCGTCAGGCCAATTATTTTTCAGTTTTTTAAACTCTCCGGCACATGTCAACATGTCACGATGCGAATCAGACAAACAAGTTTACAGATGAGACTTAAGGGCATTTCAAAGTGCTTAAAAATGATCAAATCGAGACTAATTCACTGACAAAATGTCTGGCACTGTGGGCTGGAAACTCTTGACTTGGAGTAATACAGACATCGCTCTAATCTTCTATAATCCCTTATGATTATTAAGATTTTTATGTCATACCTACTGTCATAAAATCATAACTCAAACATTTAAGAAATGGCACTTATTGAAGTTTGCATTCTTATCATTCTCAAAGAGATAGAGGAAAAATGTGTCCCTGTTTGACAAATTTGTACCCCCGGGCTTTGAACTTGAACCCTTTCACATTAATGGGAGGAGGAAATTGTACCAAAGGTTAAAATAC